GTGTACAGACTGTATAGTGACATAGCAGCCATAGAACCCTGGACTGGCCAGGGTACTTCCTGGGTGCGTTCTGCCAGGTAACAGGGGCCAGCATAATGCCAGAATCCTTACAGATATACTTCTAAGTTAGAAACACTATCAAAAAGAGACAAACCAATTGCCTCAAAACTGTACAACTGTACTTAGGCTTCCACAGAAGGAGCTATAAGCCAGGGATTGCTGACATTATCCATTCTTCTCAAAAATACTGTGCGATTATTACTGTAGTTGGCGTCCACTTGTTCATTTCCTGAAATAATCACACAGAAACAATGTTATTTACAACACTGCTTGACCTATTAGCTTATGCATATTTCTATCTTACTCATATCTTAAATTAACCCATTTCTATTATTTTATTTTTCATCACTAGGCTCATGGTCTACTGAAAAGGTCCCAGCTGGAAGCTTGCGTCTTTCTTCTCTGGTGGCTCCATGGCTTCTTTCTGACTCCATCTTCTTCCTCCCAGCATTCAGTTTAGTGTTCCCGCCTAGCTCTATTCTGTTCTATCACAGGCCAAAACAGCTTCTTTATTCATTTACCAATAAAAGCAACACATTGACAGAAGGGACTTCCCACACTATTTTACATGTGTTATTTTAGTGATACATTTGTGAGCAGACAAAATCCTGTACTATGGAGTTATGAAAGAGAAAGAAGAAATAAACAAGCAATTTTTAGCATGTCTGGGAGTAGTGAGTCCTGAACTGGGGGAGCCTGCTAAAAGTGATGGATGCATAGAGATGGGGTGGGGGAGGGGTCAGGAAAGGCTTCATTGCTCAGTTAAGACTTCACAAAAATGCAGGGTTCAGGATGCAGACCTCAACTGCTCCAGGAGCACAAAGGTGCTAGACTTGCTAGACTGGAAATTTGTAGGTTCTTTAGAAAATTCATCTCTCACAATTGCAGTAAATGTAATGTACTTTGTACCCTCCATCATCTTATTCCCTTTTAATTCTTCTTCCTAATTAGCCCTGATCTGACTTTATGTCTTTCAGGGGCACCCAGTGAGTGTCACTGGGGTTCCTTGCTAGAGTGGAATGAGAGATGATTTACAGGAGTTCCTTACCAAGTGGCAATACCAATGAAGAACAGGCTTGTCACTCCTCCAGAAGCTGACTATCGCTCCTCAGGGATGGTTGGGGACTTCTAATTCCTCTCCAGTCCATGATGGAATGTTTAGAACCCTGACTTAAACAGACAGTGCAGGCTCTGTGAATTCTAGAGGAATACATGTTACTCAAAACTACTCTCTGAATATCTGATCCTCCTGTCTCCATCACCCAAATGCTGGCTTTGGAGGCGTGTGTCACCCCAACCCCACCTGTACCCCCACTTCAGACCGCCCTTGCTATTTACTTGCTTGATGTTTGGCTAGTTTCCAAGAGAACTTTAGAAACATTATTAGGTTAATTACATGTGATAGCTCTGATTCTTTTTTCATGCAAACATCCACAGATGGAAACTTTCGTCTTAGAAATCCTAAGTTACGTTTTCATTTTCATTTGATTCTAGCAATTTTAAAATTTTATCCCTGAAGTTTTTTTTTATCCATGACCCATTGGTCATTTAAGAATGTGCAATTCACTCTGCATGTGTTTGTAAGGTTTTTGAATTTTGCTTCTTATTGACATTTCTCATGTTTGTTTAATATGCTTTGATAAGGCACATGAATTATTTTGATTTTTTAAAACCATTTTATTTAATAATCTGTTAATTACATTTATTTTCTTACTTGCATAAGTGTTTGCATATGTGTGTGTCTGTGTGTGTGCATGAGTGTGTGTGTGTGTGTGTGTGTGTGCATACAGGAGGACAGAGGACAACCTCTGGGAGTTGTTTCCCTCCTTCCCCAGTGCGGGAGCTGGGACTGAACTCAGGTCATCAGTCTTGGCAGCAAGAATGTTTACCCATGGAACCATTTTGTTGACACTTTTTTTTTTTTTGGCCTAGAATGATATGCCATAACAGTGACAAAAAAGTTAAACAAATATACATATGGCAGGTGTGGTTGTGCTCTCTAACTCCAGCACTCAGGATGTTGAGGCAGGAGGATTACAGGCCAGAATAGGTTTCCAGTGATTTGAAAGCCACCCAGAGTGGGACTCTGTCACCATAATTAGAAAACCACTCTGTTTTTGGAGGAGTCAGCCTAAGGTTAGGGACATCTCCCACAAGCACTTTCTGAGACAGGAAGCAAATGGACACCAGTAAAAAGGTTAAGAAAACTTTCAATGGAAACTGGAATTCAGCGGAAGGATAGCACGTCTTGCCAGAAGGCAAGATAGGCGAATGGAGAAAGTCCAAAGAGCAGTTGTACCCAGCCTTTGTTTTATTGAGGCTAGCATGAAAACTGTCTTCTGCCCAGGATCATGTGCCACTCCACCTCCTCAAAGTAATGCAGGGAGAAATAAACACATTTTATTTCTGTTGATTTAATCTTGCAGGCTATTCTGTGCAACCTAAACCTCAAAATGGGCATATGAGACAGAAGACAGCAGCTAACCAAACTACTGAGAACTTTACCTTGCTCACTTTCTTTGGAGCTGGACCAGGAAGGCACAGCTATTTATAATTGCTGTCTCCTCTTTAAACCTACGCTTCAGGGACAGATTAGAGCCCCAAGCTGCTCATCTGGTTCCTCTTCAACTAAACAATATAAGCATTTTGAATACTGTTTATTGAAATGTCCATCTTGAAAGCATTAAGTGGCCTCACAGAGAATCTGCCTCCTCATCCATTTCCCTAACTCCCTGCCTACCCAAAAACTTGCTCCCAAAACAATACCAGGGCCGGATGTTGTTCAGTGGTTAAAGCACTTCCTAGAATATGTGAGGCACTGAAAAATGTGAACGAACACCACCTATTAACTGCCTTGCTAGCTTTGATGGTGGAAGAAAGAGCTGGGAAGGAAGCTGTCTAATTGCAGGTCCTTGGCCCTGAGAAAGCTCAGATGGAGTTGGATGCTAACCCAGCAGTAATGCTCCACTGTGGACAGTATGTAGAGTAAGCAGGAGTTTTTACCAAACCAGTGAGTGTGGGAGAAGTCTTAGATATTGGAAAGGCAAGGAAACAGATTTTTTTTCCCCTGAGATCTAGCAAGGAATGTACACAGCTGGCTGTTTTAGTACAAAGAGATCTTTGTTGAACTTCTGGCATTCAGAACTGTAGGATAATAACTGTGTTAGCCAAGCAACTGCATTGGTGCAATTTGTTAAATCAACAATAGAAAACTGTTGTACAACTTGAGCAAACATAGGATATAATACTAACACAATACATACACAGACATTTACTCATAACCAGCATCCTCTGGGCTACACCAACCCAGTGTTAACATGAGGCCACACTAAACTGACAGCCCATATTTACTCCCCTGCCTTTACCTGATTGTAGAATATCTTTTTCTTTTTCTTACAAAAGTTTCCCTCAGTTGTCCTCAAGACTCCTCAATATGGGAAGGGGTGTAATATTCACGAGGCTAAGCTCCACTCCTAACCAGAGTCCCACAGTTTCCATTACCTGGCTTAAATGTTGTTGATGTCTACTGTTCCTCAGTACCTGGGGAGTCTGACTTAAGGTTCCAGGCAAAACTTCTGCAATTCCATACCTGACCACGGCTTCTACCACTCTAACTGGAGGCTTCTCTCCTGCCTGCCAGTTCCTGGAGAACCACTCTGAGGCTTAATATTAATTACAAACGGTTAGACCTATTAGCTCAAATTTATTATTAATTCACTCTTACAACTTAAATTAACCCATTTCTATTATTCTATATTTTACCACGAGGCTCATGACTTGTTACCTCACATCTTGCTTCCCCGGAGACTGCTGGTGTCTCCCAGACTTCGCCTTTTTTTCCCCCCTATCTTTGCTTGGATTTCCTGCCTGGCTCTATTCTGCCTGGCTATTGACCAAATCAGGTTTTTTTTTTTATTAACCAGTGGTAACAAAACATATTCACAGCATGCAGAGATACATCCCACATTACACCAGAGCTTCTCTGGCAATCTCATGTTGCCAGGGAGGCCTTTCAGGTAAAGCTTGGGGGCATGGCTAGACATTGATGCCACTCTCTCAGGGTCTCAGTGCTTTGAGATAAAGTCAGAAGAATCATTTTCTTACTTCATGTTAAATGTCTTTGAAGCAGTTTCAAAGCAGTGTGCCTCAGGATTGACCATCTTTTAGGTTTTTAAAATGATTTTTTGAGGAAATAATTCTACCAGTTGAATTATAATTCTCCCCTGAGACTAATTGTAAATCAAGAGAACGTCCAGTGATTCTCAACCTTCCTAATGCTGTGATCTCTTAATACAGTCCCTCATGTTGTGGTGACCCGCAACTATAAAATTATTTTGTTGCTACATTATAATTGTAATTTTGCTATTGTTATTAATCATAATGTAATCATCTGATATGCAAGTTATCTGCTACGTGACCCACCCTCAGAGGGTTTTGAGATACTGCTAGCTTAGATGAAGGAGTGTAGGTAACTCTACTTTCTTTCCCAAATGCCTTTCCCCAAGTGAGAGTCCAGCTCATATGTGTTTCTAAAACTTTATACTAAATATATTGTGACCTAATTCTAGGACTTTGTTTTGCATCGATTCCTTTAAGGTTTATCTGGGTCGTGACTGTGGTCTTTATTTCCTTTTAACACAGAGCACAGTCTTGAGGTGGGGGACCTTGCCTGGGATCTCCCTGGCAAAGGCAAGTTTCCGGGGAAACTGCTGTTACAGGATCTGCCAGGAGGTGGCGCTGTTGGCCTTCATTGTAACTCCGTGCCTACCTGAACTGATTTCTCCCTTGCACTGTTCACCTTGCAATCGAAAATGAGCGTGTTGCTGGGCAACAAGTCCAACTTTTACAGTTTCGGCCGAGGTTTCCTGCTGGCTGCTGTGTGGTGAGTTCCGGAAACCTCAGGGCCCACAGACTTCCCTTTGTGGGGAGCCCGCCCAGACTTCATCCTCTGCGGGCAGCCACGCCCCCACTGGGGGAAGTTGAGACTGGAAAGCCTTTCCTTGAGGCTGACACACCTTGCTGTGCCTCACCTGTCTCTTCCAGTGCCCTGACTGGCCAACTCCATCTGAAACCGGAGTGAACGGAGAAGGGACAAGGTAGCAGCTGGGGGTCAGAGGGAGGGAGAGGCACATGGGTTGCATCTGGGGTGGGTTTGGAGAGAAGAAAGGGAAGGAGAGGGAGCTGGTGGTAGAATGGCCAGGCTGGCTGGCTGAAAACCAAGGTGCGTTGATCTGTATTTCTTTGGAGCAGGTGTTTTGTGACTTTCGACTTCTGGCTTTTTATGACACGAAAACTTTCGTTTTGGCAAAGAGAGCAACAAGATGAATTTTTTCAGAGAGGGGACAGCCTGGACCTAGAGGGTTTAGGAAAAGTGAGGGTACCGGAATTATTTATAGGAGGGTCTATAGTCCCCTCAGATCACTTCCTTGGGATCAGCACGCTCAGCCTCGGAGTTAGGCACCGCCGTTCCAGTTAGTGCACGAGACTGCGAGATGATATTTGTTGAATGAGATAATATTTGTATTTTCTCATGTTTCAAAATTACGTGCTGTCCTTTGTCGGGCCAAACCTGTTTTCTCCTTAACTATCATCTTTCTTTTTCTTTCTTCCTTTTTCCCCCTATCAGTCCCTCCATCTCATTACCATCTTGTCTCTTTTCTCTCTCTCTCATTTGTGCGACTTCCTTCTGTAATGAATCTTTTCCCCGTGGGAGTTTCTTCTGTACATGAAACCATGTCTTTCCCCTACTACTCAGTACGAGCCACCAGTGGATGTGGGGAAAAGAAGGGAGCTGCTGGTCCACCGCCATGAACCTGGTTGGACACTGGACTTTGCTAACTGCCTGGCTTACTGTTCTGCCTCCATCAGCATCTCCACTCACAGACACCTGAAGACTGATCCTTTAACTGAGATGTCATGAAGTATTTTTCCTTTGCAAATGATAACCTTTTCCCCATGCCTTTGTCATTGGCCAAAGCTGTAGAACTACAAGTGCATGCGAAGTCCATGTCTGCAGGAGTGTTGCTTCTGAGCTTGGTGGGAAGGATATTTTTGGGCCTCCCTCTGGGGTTGGTAGGTGACTGTCTTCATATTATGATGCCCCCTACTCCTGCATTTGTCTGCCTTTGCACCTTCATTTTAGAGGCACATCAGTCATATTAGACTAAGGCCAATCCCACTTATCTTTCAATAGTTCCTATCCCTAAATAACGTCACATTTTGGGATAGGAAGTTCTACAGTGTCAACATGTGAATGGAGTGGGTCACAATTCATCCCATGACAACAGTTTAGTCCTTATATATGCGCTCAGATTACAAGTACATATGAGCGTACTCAAAGACATTCAGGACATCTTAGGAAAGGCTCAGCTGTCTCCTGCTCATGCTTCTCCCCACCTTTCCCACCTCTTGCTATGGTCTAAACAACAATGTGCTCAGAAGTTACATGGTTTGTTTGTTTTAGCAATAACCAATAACTTTACACACACACACACACACTTGCACGTCTGCATTCATGCATGCACACACACACATACACACACACACACACACACACACAGAAACAAAACTGGTGGCCTAAAGCACACAGTCATGCCTTTGGGTTCTGTGGGTCTGAAGTCAATCATGTGTAGGCCTTCTCTCTTGAGGCTCTAAAAGAAATTCAGTTCCCATCTTGCTTGTTTCTGGAGTTTTGAGCACATTCCTGAGTTCATGCCCCTTTGTCCCTCTTCAAAGACCACACTGCCTGGGTTTAATTTCTTCAGTTTTCCACAATGACTTTTGCCCTTCTTTTGACCATTTAAGGATCTTTGTGAAACACTGGACTCACTCAGTTATTTGGAGGAAACTCTTTCAAAGTTAGTTGATTAATTCCATCTGCAATGTTAATTCTCATTTGCTCTTTAACACTAATAACAGCAACCTATAGGTTCCAGGGATTTAGGTCATGTGCGTTGTGGGAAGAAGAAAGCATTTTTATTTAGTCCTTTGAATTTATTGCCATCCCCTCCCTTCCCCTCATCCACATCCTTACTCTTTCTTTCTTTCTTTCTTTCTTTCTTTCTTTCTTTCTTTCTTTTTCTCATTACTGGGGATTGAACTCAGGATATTGTCACTATATCCTCAGAGTTTTTATTTAATCAATTTTGTTTTATAATTCTTACAGTTTGATTGAGTCTATGTGTTTGTGTATATAACTAATATACAGACACACAGAAACAAACATAATGCAGCTACATACAGGACCATATATACCATAATGTGGGTTTGTGCCCAGGAGCACAGCCAAGAGGCACTGGACCCTCCAAAGATGGAGTTACAGGCTGCTGTGAGCCACTAGAGTCGGGTGCTGGGGACTGAACATGGGTCCTCTCCAAGAGTAGTACATACTCTTAACCACTGAGCCATCTCTCCAGCCCCATCTTAGCCCTCTCTTTATTTTCTGCTTTTCAATGGAGTTTTGCCTGTCCAACCTGGTCTTGAACTGACTCTGTAGGCCAGGCATGTCTTGAACTTTCTATTTTCCCACTTCAATTTCCAGAGTAGCTGCCAGCACTCACTTTCTACTTAGAGATTGGCATTCTCCTTGTTATGGATACCAAGGAAGCTTAAATCCCTTTTGTGGAGAAAAACATCAGCTTGCCTAAAGATAGAATGAAGAGACATGTGCTCTCTGGGCAACAACTGGGTACCATGTTGCTCTCTGTATAATACTGTTTTAAAAAAACTTCTTGGGATGATGAAATCGCTCAGTAGGTAAGATACTTGTCACACAGTCTGACAACTTGAGATGAACCTCAAACCTATGTAAAAGTGGAGGGAAAAAAATAAAGTCCCAAATATTGTTGTTCTCTGATCTTCACACAATGAGCTGTAGCATGTATGTGTATGCATTCACACACACACACACATACACACACAATAAAACAAACTAAATTAAAAAAAACACCTCAGTCCTTTTATGGTAGTCAGTAAAGTTTGATTCTATATTCTTGATCAACTTCTGTCAGTTATTTTCTTATAAAAGTTACTTGCAGACCCAGTGATACTTTTTTATGTATTTATTTATTTTTGTTGAAAAAATTTCCACCTCCTCCCCACCTCCCATTTCTCTTCCCCTCCCCCCCACTCTTCTCCCCCTCTCCCCCTCTCTCCACTCCTCTCTCTCCCCTCACTCCTCTCCAGTCCAAAGANCCCCACCTCCCATTTCTCTTCCCCTCCCCCCCACTCTTCTCCCCCTCTCCCCCTCTCTCCACTCCTCTCTCTCCCCTCACTCCTCTCCCCTTCTCCCCACTCCTCTCCCCCTTCCCCCACTCCATTCCCCCTGCCTCTCAAGTCTGAAGAGCAGTCCGGATTCCTTTCCCTGTGGGAAGTCCAAGGTCCTCCCCACTCCATCCAGGTCCAGGAAGGTGAGCATCCAAACAGGCTAGGCTCCCACAAAGCCAGTTCATGCAACAGACAAAGGTCTGATCTCCAAAATATATAAAGAACTCAAGAAACTGGACTTTAAAATGCTAATTAACCCAGTGATACTTTTATAGACCAATTTTGTTACTTATTCAGGAATCCTTTGTTCTAGGGGATTGCAGCGAAAAGGAAAAGGATTACTTACCACAGTTCCTACATCTTTGTGTTCACAGCAGTTCCATCTGTTCTTCTATCTTGTCGCTTCAGTTCTGCCCTCAGCAGTCCAGGGTTAATTGGTCTGGGTTCCCACATGCTCCTTGTGTTGATATTTGTCTGTGCTAAGGCAGGAGGTGGACTGTGATACCCTGGAGTAAATGGCTGTCTGAGGGAAGGAACAGGAAATAACAGGAAACTCAACATTATGTATGGGATGAGGGGTGTGGATGCTGAATGCCTTCTATTTTTTAGATCATGTCTTGGACAGTTTCCAAGGAGAGAAAATGAGAGAAGAAATCAATTCCCCTGAAGGTAAAGTTGCCAGTTATAGACAGAGTGAGATGAGTCCAGGCCCAGAAATTATTTTATTTTGTTTATTATTATTAGTGTTGTTATTACTTTTGTTGTTGAGATTTGTACATGTTATTATTGGCTTTTGGTTGTTGCTTCTTTTTGAAATAGGGCGTCTCATGTTCTCATGTCTCTGACTGTTCTCACTCACTGGGTAGCTAACGATGACCTTGAACTTCTGGTTCTTCTCCACCTCCATTTCCCAAGTGCTAGAATTCAAATGTGAGCCACCGTGCTTGACTGTGAGATTTATTTTAAGTGCTACTCTTCTATCAGCGGCTGAAGAACAAAGCACTTAGCTCTCTGTCTGATTGTTTTGTCATCCTTTTTCTTCTGAGACATGAAAGGTGGCTATAGATGGGAAAATGTCTAGGGATACTTCCATGTTATACTGGAATTACAGGTGGCACCATGACTCTTGGCTTAGCTTTCTCCTTTGTATTCAGTCTGGGATTTAGTATATAAGACTGTGCTTCTCACATTTATGGTAGGTCTTCTCTCCTCAGATAAATTTCTCTGGAAACAGCCTCAAGAACACTGCCAGAGGTGTGTTTCCTAGGTGAGAGTAATAAAGGAAGATGCTGGCTGACCACTACATGTGCATGCATAGGACATATCCACATAAGTGCAGATACCACACACACACATACACATACCCACCACACACATACCACACATACACATACACACACACACCACACATACCACACACACATACACACACCCACCACACACATACCACACACACACACACACACACACCACACATACCACACACACATACACACACCCACCACACACATACCACACACACATACACACGCACACCACACATACCACACACACATACACACACCCACCACACACATACCACACACACACATACACACACACACCATACAATTCCATACACATACACCACACACACCACACACATACCACATACACACCACACACATATACATACCACTACTCACATACCACACATACACACACACACACCACACACATACCACACACATACACCACACGTACACCATAAACACCACACACACACCAAACAAACACACACATACACACACACATCACACATATGCACACAAGCACACATGGGCTTAGAATC